ATGAAAACACAGGGGCTCAAAGCATTGGTTGTTGGTGCCCTGGTGCCCAGGAGCCTCCAGGATGGCCTGCTAGCAGGGGCTTTCCACCAGCTCGCCTCTCACCCACAAGAAATGATGCTGCTTCTACGGGATACAGGGCAAGATCATTCTGCTGTGTTTGCTTGGGGAGGAAGGATGGACATGGCTCATAGTGTCTGTTCTCATCTACTATAAAGGACACACCACCAGAGGGAGAGTTATGGCCACCCAAGAGCATCCTCCCCAAATGAGAAGTCGGCATTTAGGTGCAAGGTTTCAACTCCTCCCAGAGGTGCATAAGCAAAGAATGTGATTCATTCAGCATCGAGTTAACTGCCCCAGGTGGCAGGGAGGCCAAGGCGAGGTACCCTTTTGATTTGCTACTTGCAACTCAGAGCAATTGGGTTTCCTGCAGGGGACCCGGATGGGATTGGTGGGACACCGGATCCCATGAATGCCCCTATGCTCCAGGAGAGATTGTATTTACACACTTCTTGTAAAACAGGATTGTTGAGGTTTGGAATCGTTTCAGTTTGCAAGGAAACTTGGCATTCGAAGCTTTCACAAGCAGGGCGAGTTGGTTACTATTAATAATTCAAGTAAAGGTTTGGCAAACAAGGAGCTGAAGGAAGGCAATGGGAGGCTGGGGTTTTGGGGATTGGGTGTTAGGGATTTTAACCAGCCTGAGAAATTACTACAACCTGATTCCAATCACCCAGACACATTGCAGGAATGTCATTGTGATGGCCTCTGTTGCTCTCTACCCTAAACCTGTTCTCATTGGGTGCTGTGGAGTGTAGCTGAAGCCTGGGACTGCCTGTCTCCAAAAAGGAATTCTAAACCCTTTGAAACCATCACGACAAGATCTCTACTTCCGTACTAGGGAATACGTAAGATGGTGACTATGCAGACTTACTGGGCATGTGTGAGGGGACATGGGTGTTCCGAAGACCATATATATCCGAGGGGTACACATAGGCTTTTGACGCTAAAATATCAATTGATTAAAAAAAAATCCTTAAACGTGGGTGTGCATGATAAAACAGCCGTGCTGCTGTTGGTTCGAGTCACATTTGACTTTTAAATGTGAAGTATGCATTTACATGACACATTGCAGGAATGAACTATTCGTCTTCCCTGCAAAGGAAGGTGAGGGTGTGGGATGTCTAATAAGTGTGAGGACAGCCTTTGCACCACGACTGTGTTATGGTACACTATGCTATGTCAGTTCTTCATTTGTTCCTGGGGATTGGCAGCAGTATATCTCAGTCCCAGCACGGACGCTAACTGTGTAGCGCTCACCTAGAGAAAATGAAGACACTCCTTGGCTTTCTCTCAGGCTATCATCAGAGGAGGTGCTCTAGGAAAAGATGCCTGGATTTGGTCTCTTGGGACTTAATCGTAGCTGTGTGGTGGCTCATGTCTACAATGTCAGCACCCAGGAGGCTGAGGCAGGGGGATTGCTGATCACTGTAAGATCTGGTGCAAGTTTGAGACCAGTGTGGGCTATATGGTGAGTTCAAGGCCAGCTGGGATAGCCTGTCTTAAAAATAAGCAAATAAGTAAGTAAGCATCTAAACAAACAAAAGAGGGATGAACACCCTCAGTAGCAATGAATGTTGGCTTGGTTGCATACCAGAGCTTGACAATAGAACCCTATTGCTGAAAATACTGCACACATTAATCACAGGACATGGTAAAATCAATACTGACCAGGAAGCTTCATCCGTTGTTGGCTAGCTCTCATAGTACTAGAAGGTGCTGTGCAGGCTGCTGGAGAAAATGTCATCAACAGTCTTAGCCATCTGTGAGCCCTGATAACTATGATAAAGACAAACATAGCAAGATTTGCCCAAGGGTATGTACAATAGTGTCACAAATGTTATGGGGTAACCAATCATTTTCTGCTTGGATTTAAGGTCTACTACACAGGAAGAAACACATGCCTGGTATTGCAAATCTGTCCAAGAATCCACAGATAGGGAGTTCACAGGCTCCGTGTGTATATGTGTGTGTGTGTATGTGTGTGTGTGTGTATTGTGTGTGTGTATGTGTGTGTTATTTTAAAGATTTATGTTATTATTTTGATAAATGGAGACAGCATTAAACTGCCCTCTTAATTTATATATTTGTTCTATTCATAGATGAGTGCAGCTTGTAGACCTCATCAGAGAAGCTTCTTTATGCAGTGAATGATGGTTTGTGGAAAAAGTACAGAGAATAAATAAGTGTGGAGTGTTTAGTCACAAACACGATATCTAAATTACACACACACACACACACACACACACACACACCAAGGCTCATGGCCCATCATGGGAACTGAAAGATTTGAGAATCAGCGGTTGGGGAGGAGCAGACTGACATCGCCGTGTCTTCTGGCCATGAAAGAACTACAGTGCTCGCTCTCACAGCAGCTGTGGCTGCCTATGTGATATCAAGCCAGGCAACTTTCGAGCCCAGGATAGGAAGTGGCTCATGAGCCCTCAGCCCTAACTGAGAAGGTATGGACAGTTTCTGCCTTCCGGAGGAGGGAGAGTCAGTTTTGAAACATGTTGTCTGATAGGATGACCATGTTCCACACCTAGAAATATGTGAACAGCCCAAATAGGAGTTGATAGCTTTAAAATGTGGGGCGGGGTAGGAAGGTAGGGGCAGAACTGGGAGATGTTAAGGAGAGGACTTGTGAGTAACTAGGAGCAAAACACATTATATAAAATTCTCAAAGAAATATATAGATATCTTTAAACATTGACCTCCAGGATCTCACTTCCCTGCACCTTCAGATTGGGCAGTTTTCAACTCTCAGCGAAGTCTTTTTTTGCTGTAAATGGAGTTTAGTATAGAGACCCATAGCGGGTCAAACTACAGAATGTAAGAGTCTCCGAGAGTATTCATCTTTGAGTTCTCTTTATGTGTAAGACATCTATCTGATGCCTCCTCCTCCAAGGCTCATTGAAGAGCAAGTAGGAAGATGGGCAGAGCCAGAGGTTGGGAAGACTGCAGCATAAAGATGTCTTCTGGTCATGACAGTGACCCATTGTACACATGAAGTCATGGCGGCTGTGGCTGCATTCTCCTGCATAAATTAAAGCCAGTCAAAATCCTAACGTGGATCGGGGAGGAGATTACAAAGCTCCATTCTCCGGCTGAGGAGCTATTGGCAGTGATGGCTGCTTTGGGAGTATCCGTTTTCTTCTGAGGTCTGTCTCTGGGTGGATTGCCCTGCTCTGATAGACAGCCCTACACACCCACACATACCAGTGACACCTTTAGAACTCGGTGGTTAAAAGATAAAAAAACAAAAAGTGCATGAAGATGGGAGGGAGAGGGTGGAAAGGAGTGGAGGGGCAGACTAGGTGGTGAGTAAATAAGTATATAAAATAGTTAATTAAAATGATACGTGTCACTCCCCTCAAAATGAATGCAGCTCCATTTGCCTTTTCCCTCTCTATCCTTCCTTCCCTTTCTTCCTTTTTTTCCCTCCTGCTTTTTCATTCTTCTCTTAGATAGCTAAATATCTGTCCATTTTTCTCCCTATCATCTTTTTCTATGTTGTTCTGACTTTAAGAATATGCATCCTGCTGGTCACAGATGGCACTCCCTGTGTCTCAGAAGTTACTGCTCATTTCTGAACACTCCCCCCTTCCAGTGTTTCTGAATGTACACTAAGCCCCGCCTACCTGGACCTTTCCCAGGCTGGTCCATATCTCCTATGTCTCACCCCTTTGTTGTGGCAGTTCTGGCCCAAAGTTCACTGCCTCTGCAAAGTCTTCCAGGGTCTCTGGTTAACAGCGCTGAGCAACACCTTTCACCTAGGCCCACGTAGAACTCATATTCCCTGGGGGGCTGGCACAGGAGACTCTGGCTTGCAGAACTATGGGGTGACAGGTGAGCACTCCCACGTAACTCATAACTGCCTGTCACTCTTGCTCAGTTCCAGTTTTGCCACCAACCGCTCAACATGCCATGGCAGGAGCCCATTCCTTGGCCCTCCGTTACTGAGCAGGCCCTGATTTCTGACGTCTGAGTCAGGCTGACAGGAACCACCCTCAGTTTCAGCTGTGCCCTTTCTATATTCCAGATCACTGAAGTTGGACAGTTCCATTCCTTAGGACCCATGGCTCCTCCCTCCTGGGAAGCTGACTGCCCAAAGTGTCCAGCTCCTGCACTTCACTCTGTGTATGGGGAAGGAGATGAAAAGGCCTTTTACCACACAGTAGGGCCTGAAGAAAGGCAGGAAAAACTCGAGTGGACATAGGAGCTGCCAGGGAAGGCAGGGAGCTTACAAGGCAGACTCCCTCTTCACACAGAGATTCATCTGCTGAGCCTGAAGGAATAAAACGGAGCTTCGAATCCTCTCCTCACCAAAGGCTCTGCACATCATCTCCATGCGAATTTTAAGGGTCCAGGGACTGAGAAGCCTCACTTGGGCTCGTGGGGCTGGGGGAGGGGAGTGCTGCATACTACTGATGCTCATGGAGCTAATGACCCAAAGTTTCTGAGTTTCTTGAAAATGCCAGTTGACAAGGAGTTCTCAACACCTAAAACACTAACCCTGTAGTGTCTCTGAAGGTGAGCTATCACCTGAGTCAGCTGCCTGGACACCAGTATGTAGATCACAGAATCCCAAGTCCTGCCATCTGGCCTGAATTCACCTCTGAAGGGGGAACTCAGGAGTTCGTACTGAAGCACGTCCCTTGGCGACAGCGGGGATGGGGAAGTTTAATAGCCACTGTCTCCATTCAGATCCTCAGATTCTCAGGAAGGTAATGGGAGACTCACAGTCTCCAGCTCTTCCCCCATGGTGTTCATGGGCTGTAGGATGTGAGCTGATCCAAGAGGTTTCTGGCACCTTAAAAAATCTCTACACCAGGTGGTGGTGGCGCACTCCTTTAATCCCAGTACTCGGAGGCAGAGGCAGAAGGACCTCTGTGAGTATGAGACCAGCCTGGTCTATAAGAGCTAGTTCCAGGATTGGCTCAAAAGCTGCAGAGAAACCCTGTCTTGAAAATCAAAAAAAAAAAAAAAAAAAAAAAAAAAAAAAGTCCTCATATCCTCAGTAAAATCAGGCAACTGACTTAACCCTGTGTTAAGGCCAAATCCTGACAATACACCATCTTTGGGTTCATCCAACAGCCACATCACAGCCAAGAGCTGATGACTACCTGCCTCTAAGCCTGGGCAAGAGTGACAATGAGCGCACAAGCCTGGCCCTATTCTGTCTACCTTCTCTCGAGGAGAGAGACACATGAAAAACAAAACAAAGTGTATCTCATAAATGCAAGACAAGAGTTTTATTGCTCAGAGTGACAGGAGCCTGAACTGAGCCCTGGAAGAAAACACAGTAGGAAACAAGCCAAGGAGATCACCAAGCCCTGTTCATTTCCCAGCTGAATACAGACACCTGTCTATGGGCGGTGAGCTAGCCAGACACCAGTAGTGTGCCATTCAGCAAGTATCCTCTATGCCCAAGGGCCCCAGGTTTCTGAATTCCTGACCTCCTAGAAGGGAATGCAAGAAAAAGGCAGATGGGGCAGAGAGATTATAAAAGGCAAGCCATGTGTGTGAGGCCGGAACTGAGCCCTCTGAGTGGATTTGGGATGTGGAAGAGGCCTCTCCTCTGTTGGCAGTACTCCCAAGCTTCACAAAATGGTTTCACCTGCCCAGTGGCCCTCGAGTCCAAGTGCCGTGAAGTGTCTCCAGGAACCAGCGGGAGTCAAGCAAGTCACTGAGACCTTTCACCTTGGGGGGACGGAGTCTTGTTTCATATACCTCACACCTGAGAAAATCACACGTTGTTTGCTTAATTAAATTGCCAGAATGAGGTAGATCACTCAGGTGGAAGCAGTGACCTCCAGGGGCATGTTTTAGAGATGTGCGGACTGCTATCAACTTTTATGGGAGGCAATTGCCGTGGCATTGGCTGGTGCTCATTGCCAATGGAGCCGCTTCCTTCTCGCTTCCCTTGGGTTTTCAAGCCTGTGCCTAAGTGATAATGAAAACTCTCCATCAATGGGCTTATCTGGGGTTCTTGTCGGTGGCATGATGCCAATGTAGTGGGTTTTATTAGATGGTAAGCAGTTTTAGAGGCATAGTGAAAATTACAGCATACATCCTTCCGGATAAGAGGTGTCGTGGGTGGCAATTCCTGCTTCTTAGTTATGGAAGGGACAGCGAGAACTTAGTGCAACTCAGGGTGCAATATGTTGCCAACACAGAGCAGGCAGAGAAAGGATTGATAGGGTTACTCTCCCTCCAAACCAATATGGGAGAAGAGGATGTCCCTACTCACCTCTGCCTATCTACTGACTTCTCCCTCTGGGTCACCATTCCTATTTTGCCCAACTTTAGCAGTATTTGTGTGAAGGGGGAGATTATTTGGTGCATGCTGTCTTGGCTCCCTACTTGATTTGAGCTTCCCTAGCACTTTGAGTTTTGGGACAGCAGAGGGTAGATACAGCTGCTCTTCTCTAGCCGAGCTATAGAAATGATTGCGGTGATTTGTGCTAGATGGGGCCAAATGGACTCTGAACCAGGACAGTTTTGTCCCAGAAACAAATGTGTGTCAGTGTTGTTCTAGTAGATGGGTGACAACCAGCTCTGGGGAAAGGAAGGCCTGATTTACAACACTTAGTTATTCTGGGTGCATTAAAACTTTCACCGTGGCTAAATTCAAGCTACCTGGGTGACATCTCTTGTCACAGGAGGGAGGAGTGGACCTCACCAACTCCCCCATAAGGTTGGCTGGACAGAGATAGGTACAAAGTGAAACAAGTGTCCTGAGGAGTCCCCGCTGGAGCCCAGGTTCTTTTTCCCCAACAAGGTAGGAGCAAGTACATCTCTCCCAGCAACAGGAAGATAGTAAAGCCTCCTTAGATGTTACAACGGTCTCCATGGAAACTCTGAAGCCTGACAACACCAGGCCTGGTGGAGTTGTTTTCTAAATGAATTGCCAAGAGTTAATGATAGGCTCTCTTTTCAAATAGACAAGTAGAGATTTCTCTGCCTTTAACCACCGGGGCTGCGTGGCAAGGAAAACCAATGGTCTTCGGCTTGGTCCCTGGTGGAGAGTTCCCTTTGTATTTGTGAGGCTAGGTTGTGTAAAGTTACAAGGAAGGAAAGATGCTTCTGACTTGATGGCGCTCCACCCTTCCCACCCAGGGAAGTCTCTTACAGCGCAAAGCAACAGCTGTTCTGAGCATTCTCAAGTCAGTCTGTAATGATGAGACAGGAAGTCACGCACGTTTGTGTGTGTGTGTGTGTGTGTGTGTGTGTGTGTGTGTGTGTGTGTACATGCACGCTGCTCTATGGTGGGGTTAGAGGTTAACTTCAGGTGTTGTTTCTCAGCTGCCATCTACATTGTTCTTTCTTTTTGAGGCCCATCACTGGCTTGTAACTTACCAGTTCAGCTAAATCTTGGCTGACCAGTGAGCCCTGGGGAGCGACTTCTCTCGCTTCTCCAGCGCATGCCACCATGGCCAGTTTGCCTTCAGTGTGGATTCTTGGGGTCAGACTCGGGGCTTTATAGTAAGCACTTTACTGGCTAAGCTATCTTTCCAGTCCTTATCTTAGATTTTAATGAGACCAAGACAACGGTTCCCAACAGATCTGCATGTATCTTACTGGAAGAGCATCCTGTACTAATTGCAGTCTCTCATCAGTGCCACAAAGCACTTTTGTGGTGACCTTGGACCGTCCCTGCTTTCCCTTTCCCAGGACAGAATTGCAGAATGAGGGTAATGAACCACCAGGATAGTGGAACCCACTATCTGAAAACGAAGACTGCCTCCCTGTTCAGGCAGCTCCTGGGCATCCACCTCACAGGAGATGATGGGCAAGATGTCTAAGACAAGAGGGAGTCCTTCCTACCAGCTTAGATCCCATGTGGGGCAGTAGGACAGACCGGACACCTTCTTCGTACTTTACTGGGCTCTCAAAACTATGACATGCAAATCAGAAGAAGGTGACTTCCTTCTCAGATTTCAGAGAATCTAGTGTTATCTATTACCCGTCTATTGAGACCACTTTCATGCTAAGATTGTCAATACACGCAAACATTAGTTTGTTTGATGTAAGAGGGGCAGAAGTTGAATCCAAATTCCCATTCCTACGACAACTGGTGGGCAGCAAACAGGTTGTTAAACCCTTTTCCATTGAGCACAGAGCCCAAGGGTGTTAGCCGAGCGTACTGTAGTTGGCACCAGCTGGATAATATTTGGGTTACAGCAGCCACCACTACCAAGTGGAAAAGGGTTGCCATATTAGTTATGGATCAGAAGGTCGCAGCCAACCTCACTTTCAGCATCACTGAAATGTCCCTTGGAGCATGGAACGCCATGACCAGTAGCGAGCAAACAGGTGTGTACCATACCCTACACCCGCCATCAACACTCTGTGTCCTTGACAGTGACTAGCCTACCATTCTTTGGGAGGCCTTTGGTGAGTCTAAATGCTCAAAATACACTCCCAGAAAGAAAGACCAGGCCTCGGCCCATGGCCATCCTTTGGTGATGGAACAGTCTGACATCTACCCTGGAAAAGCCAAGAAGCGGGCCCCGGAACTTGTTCAGACATCAACATCACTGCAATCACCCGGCAATGGCGGCAGTAAATGTCCACCCAGGAGACCAGCCCACCTCCCTTTGCTCTGTCCTCTCGTTCTGAACGCCCCGGCAGGAGAGCCGTCCTTCATTCCGACACCGGCAGAATGTTCTGGCTGTGAGAGTCACCTGTGAGACCCACGGAGCGGGAGCGGATGGAGCGTCTGTTGAAGATTCTGTTCAGAAGCTCCTTGCAGCTCCGACGGTATTGGTGTCGCAGTAAGGAGTACACAAAGGGGTCAGATGCAGCCTTGCTGTAGGCCAAGCACTTGGACAGCACGCCCCAGTGGGAGCCGATGGGTGCTGTAGAGAAGAGTTCCACCAGCCTGTGGAGAGATGGGAGTGTGTCACTGAGGGTGCTGTGGGCGTGTGTTAGGGGCATGGAACCGTGTCAGGTAACAAGGAAAGCAATGATTCCCAAGCGCTCTGTCAACTGTGCACACAGGTTACTGTAGTGAAGCTGGGAGACATGACCACCTCATATCCTCAAACTCATAGGGGCATTCAACAATAAAGGAGGGATTTAAAGCCGTCGCCTCTGCTTCTGACCCCACAAGTCTTTATGCTCTGTAGGCCTGCATGTCTTATCTGTAGAGTAAGGAAGTCAGATGGGCTTATTTCTATGATCTTTTAATCCATGAGAGTCTGGTTTGGCTCTGCCTCAAGTTCAGTTCCGCCTTCCTGGGAGTCTATGTGGGAGAGAGGGCTGAGAAAAAAAAAAAAAACCTTGGCAAACATTCTGCAGAGCTCCAGCAGAACATCTGCCAGTGAGGAAGAGCTATTCCTAGGACTGGGGTCCTGGTGGCCTCTGACAGTAGCAGTAGTCAAGAGACCAGAAAGTGACCTTTGTCTCCTGAGGAGCGCAAGGGAGATACATCCTAAGTGTTCAAGAGTTCAGTTTTTCGAGTTCTTCTGATAGCCATGGAACTCACTGAGTGGTGCGAACTCCAGCCTTCAAGGGCGGTAAGAATTCCTCGGTCTCCACTCCTATCCCTAATTATGATTGCTCTCTCCCAAGGGTTCGCAGCCCCACTGGTCAGACTTAAGAAAGCATGTATCATTAGCATAAGATCAAAAAGACCCACAAAGCTTGGAGAGTTTGGAGACCCTACATCACTTCTCCTCCACCCACTGTCAAATGAGAAGGTTGAGATCCAGAAAGGAGAAGGGTCGTAGCAAGCCTAGTGCCTGTAACCAGCTAGGTAGGCTCTGGCAGCTGGCCACCACCTGGGACATCTTCTGGAGAGCAGGCAGTGATGGTTCTCAGCTTGGTGGGTTGCCTGGGAGAGGGCTCAGAGACAAGAAGGATCGAGCATGACTCTGCTGCCAATTTAGTTTTCCTGGCTTGGTCTTTGGGTTGAAGTTGTGTGATGGGTCTTAGAGTCAGTGGGAAGAACGGACAGGTGCTTTATGCCACTCCCCACTGGAACACTTTGTTTCCAACGGATCTCCAGTGAGTTTGTCATGAGACCACTGTCTTTGCCCCATCGTTCCTTCATCACCCTTTAGTCCTGGGGAGAACCAGAGATACCTTTCTCCTCATTTCACTGACAGATTGCATGAGGAGCTGAGGAACTGAAGATGTGAGCAGAAGGGAAATATTCACTTTTTTTTAAAAAAAAAATCTATGCTTTAGAAGTGATGAATCAAAAGAGACAAGAGCCCTAAACTGACAATGTCACACTTAATGAAATAGCCAAATGCTGGCTCACTGTTGCTGTGTGTCTATTGCTGCAAATAAAATGCCATGACTGAAAAGTAACTTGAGGAGGAAAGGGTGTATTTGGCTCACACTTCCAGATGGCTGTTCATCATCAAAGGAAGTCAGGATAGAAACTCAAACAGGGCAGGAACCTGGAGGCAGGAGCTGATGAAGAGGCCATGGAGGGGTGCTGCTTACTGGCTTGCTCCTCATGTCTTATAGAACCCAAGACCACCAGCCCAGAGATAGCATCACCCACAATGGGCTGGGCCCTCTCCCATCAATCACGAACTAACAGAAAACCCTACAGGCTTGCCTACATCCTGATCTTATGGACATATTGTCTTAATTGAGTCTCCCTCCTCTCAGATGACTTTAGCTTGTGTCTAGTTGACATAAAACTATCCATCACACCATGTGATGCCCAATCATGTTTCCCAAATGACCTGTATTCTGTATATTGTTAAGGTTGATCCTATCATCGTGGATCGCCCCAAAGGATAGGTGTGTGTGTTCATGTGTATATGTCGATACACACATGAATGCATGAATGCATTCATGGAAATCAAAGAACAGCCTGGGTGTGTTTCTTCCTCAGACACCTTCCACATTTTATCTCGGATAGCAGGGTACATCACTGGGCTGGAACGTCACCAGGTTGGATAGGTTATCTGGCCAACAGCTTTGCAAGGATCTGCCTGACTCCATCACACATTTTGTCCTGCCTGAAGTTACAGGCATCTGCTGCTCCACCTAGTCTTTGACATGGGTTCTGGGGACCTGAACTCTGGACTTATGCTTGCATGACAAACACATTGCTGTTTGAGCTATCCCTCCAGACTCCCCAAAAGAATTTTTTTTCAATACTTGATTATCAAACCGCCCAACAAGATCAAAAGTAGTGTTTGGAGGCTGTGTAGGGTAAAGTTATAGTGTTTACTTTCCCAAACTTTTATCTGAGGTCTGAACTCCCTCAGATAATTCCCAGCTTGTGCCTCCTTTGAACCCAAGTCCTCACTGTGTACACTCTCTTGCCTCACAATGACCCTGCAGAGAAGGGCTCATTCCCATCTTACAGATGAGGTCATTGAGGTCCAAAGAGATTGAGCAGCAAGCCAGGGTCTCCTGCCACAAAGTGAAAGTCCACCCTCAAAGCCTGGCTAGAGGCCACGCTGAACCCTGGAAGTCAGCATTGTAGAGAGACAAGATGAGTTTTGGGGACCCTTTAATCCCCAAGAGGCTCTTTCCATGAAGTCATGATTCACTGTGCTAAACCATTGTCTCTTGTCCCTCCCCATAAAACCTGTGGCAAGTTCTAGCCTTTGACAGACCCCAGACAAAGGAGGGCTTCAAATGAACACAAACCAGATTTGGTTCCATGTAATTTTGGCCAAAGAGATACTAGGATGTCTTCCTGCTGTTTAAGCCTCGCAGTGTGGTACTCAGTTCGGGCAGTGCCAATACTCCAAAACACCCAGAAAGAACCCCACAGGGACGTGGATGTGCTGTTAGGTTGCTTGGTTGTTTTGAGGTCGCTGACTGTAACAACACTGAAATGGAACCAGATACCCACCCTATTCCCATAGAAGCCAAGGAGACACTGGGACTTCCACGGTTTGGCACCTCTGGAGCAGCATGGCCCCTGCCACTCCCCAGCTGACAGCCTTGTCCCTTAAGTACCATTCCTGCCACCTGCCCTCACCTTTCACTAAGCACAAGGGGTTCTCTGTATGCTTCCTGGGGTGTGAGGTGGAAAAACCTCTGCTTGCCCTAAGGCTCCAGCCATAGTGACACTTAGGTTTGTGTGCTCAAAACGCACGTAGAAAAGTCCTGCACACCTCCCTGTTCCCAATCATATCCCCTCAGGAGAGTCCACCCCAGTCAGCAGCCTGGGGTACAGCAGGATGCATGAAGGGCAGGGTCTGCCTCTCCGAACACTCGAGGCCATTTTTGAGAAGGCATTTGAGCCCTTTAGAGAAGTCTGAGCAGTGAAGTGACCTGTGTCTGTGTATGTACCCTGGGAATGACCATGTATACTTGTCTTATCACATGTGTGTGTTGTAGTACTTGTGCATCATATGGCTGTATGTGCTTCTTGCTGTGCATGCATGTGTGCCATGTGTTGTATGCACTGTGAGCACGTTTGCTTGTATGTGCATATTGTGTTTTGTGCACGTGAGGACATGTGCCAAATGTATGTAAGCACATTGTGACACCTGAACGTATGCGCATGTGCTCATGAGGTATGTGCATGTATATTACACATGTGTACGTTTGTGCTGTGTAAATGTATGCAGGTGCATCTTATGTGTGTGCATGTGAGGGTCATGTGCATGTGTGCCTTGTGTTGTGTGTATATGTGCATTGTGCATATATTTGCATATTGTATGCATGTTTGCCACATGGGTGCATGAGTTATGTACATGTATGCCCATGTGCATCATGTGTGGGTCAGGTGTATCTACATTAAATGTACCATGTGTGTTGTCTACATATATATGATGTATATATCTCGTGTATGTTCGTTGAGGAGTAAAAGTGCTTCAAGATTCAGAGCTTGCTGACAGAGAATATGGACACAGAGAATCGGCTGACATAGGTGATAGCCACAGATTATACCCCTGAATCCTGCATGCCTGTCCATGCCTCTGTGTATGTGGGACTTCTCTGAACTGTGACTCTCTTTGGTGTGGGCCCCTTCTGACGCTTGTTGGCAGCACTCCAAAGTGACTGCCACAGAAAAGGGCTAAGGTGATAGGAAGCTGCCCGCCCTTGCCCTTACCCATAGGGGATCCTCACACTACCCACAGTCTGAGCCACCATGGTCCCTGGAGGAGAGGGTATACTTGTCTGAATTCTGAGGCATTCTTTGGATCCTGGAGGAAGTAATATCCAGACCTGTTCCCAGTGGGCATCTCTGTGGAGAGAGGCTCAGGGTGAGAGGCACAGTGCTGCTGGACCACAGCTCTCAGTACCCTGGGACTCAGCACCTTCAGATCCCATCCTTGTATCATCTTCCCTAACACACAGAGACCTCATGCTTTCTGGTTCCAGACTGCCTCACGGGCTGCTGCACTGTTTCCAGTTCAGCTGTGCACCTGACACTGTTGCTTTCAAATTCTGAAAGCAAAGCAGCAGATCAGAGCCCCTTCTGCGTATGTCCTCTGCCCATCACCGCTCCTCTCACTTTTGTTCTTTCTGTTTCTGTCCTTGTAGGTCTCTCTTTGTAACATTCTGCACACACACACACACACACACACACACACACACACAGAAATACAGACACAGAGACACAGAGACATAGACACAGAGACACAGACACAGAGACAGGCAGACACAGACAGAGAGACACAGAAACATGGAGATACAGACACACACAGAGAGACATGCAGATACAGACACACAAACACACACACACACACAAACACACATGTACACACATACACACAGTGTATTGTATTAAAGTACAATTCGAGTAACAGAACACTGCTTAGGGAAACAGCCCAAAAGTCCTTGAGGCTTCTGGAGACTCAATCTGCATACGTTTGCATACGCAAAGACCTGCAAGCTCTAAGGGGATGCTTTAAGCTTTCATGAGACATTAGAGTGGAGGAGTCATTTATTAATAGACCGCTAACTGTCGGGAGCCACCTGCACATTAACCCCTCCCCCCCCCATCATCCCATTACTCTGAAAAGCTGTAATAATGGGGCCATCAGATCCACAAATGCCTCCAAATCTGATCCTGATGATTTATGACAACTGTAATTATTTGTAAGTATAGATTGTGACACAAACAATAGGCTTACAATCACTTGAAGACATGCGAATGTTAATTCAGAAAACATTTCCCAAGAGCCTGTGGGTCGGAATGTGCAGTGGACCTGGGCCCTGCCTGGTCACTCCAGGAAGAGTCTAACTGACCCAGAGCTCAGGGGAGCAGCCTGACTGTGAAAGAGATAGGTCAGGCTTCCGTAAGAACTCTCAAAAAAAGAAAATGCAGACAATGCCTGAGCAACACCTACAGCCTAGTTTACACACACATACACACGCACGACCTACACACACACACACACACACACACACAATTTAGATTAGACGAATCTAAATTTTATTGTACTTACTATCCTACTAGGGACTTGCTTTGAGAAGAATTGATTGTATTTTTTAATCATATTAAATCTTGGACGTTATAAACCTGAAGTAGGTGCACCTTAATTTGGACAAGTCATATTTCAAGTGCTTCACAGCAGCCCATGTCTGGTGGTTGTCATACTAGAAAACACCACTCTAGGTGCCATTCATGCTGTCTCTCCTGCTTCTCTTCTTACTCCTCACACCCACACTTCACAAGCTTTGCCCATTAGCTTAGCCAGGAGGCTCCATTCTTTCTCTTAGCTCTGGATTCTGGGCCTGCCTGATGGAAGGGATCTGCCTAACTACAGGCTCTATTTTCAGACCAAGGTTCCTACCAGGGGACTCTTGGGGGTCTCTGCAATTCATCTTTATTCTTCAGGGGAACTTTTATAGTCGTCAAGAGAAGGTGCTGGAGACATGTGCGACAGAGTGATGGGAGGTGAACATGAGTGCTGTCATCAAAGATTTGCTTGGGGTGGTTCTGCATACATATAGAGAAGACACTGGGAAGACGTAATGGGGTGGTGTGGAGTCCCCTGACCCAGGTTCTATACTGGAGGAGGTGATGGGGTGGGGTGACATCCCCTGATCCAGGTTCTATGCTGGAAGTGATGGGGTGGGGTGACATCCCCTGACACAGGTTCTACACTAGAGGAGGTGATGGGGTGGGGTGGGGTGGAGTCCCCTGACACAGGCTCTATACTGGAGAAGGTGAGGCCTTTATTCCCATGGAAATGTTGCTTATCCTCATGCAAGATGCACAGTTTTGTTAATTTTTTTTTAACCTCAATTACATTAACTCCTTAACTCCATTTGAATCTGCTAGCAATCTGACTGAAACATTGTCTGGGCACTATTAGAAGGAAATGGGCTATAATAAAAAAAAAAGAGGTATATAGAGAGAAAGAGAGAGAGAGAAGAGGAAGAGGGAGGGAAAGAAGAAGGGAGGAAGGAAGAGATAGAGATAAATCGATCAGTAGATAGATGATAGACATATAGAAGATAGGTAGACAGACATATAGATGATAGATAGATAGATAGATAGATAGATAGACAGACATATAGAAGATAGATAGACAGACAGATAGATAGATAGACAGAGAGACAGACAGACATATAGTAGATAGATAGACAGAGAGATAGATAGATAGATAGATAGATAGATAGATAGATAGATAGATAGATAGAACTAGAAAATGAGCTCAAGCCTGAGAAAAGCCTAGCTGCCAGCAGTGGGAGTCATATCACTTTTTCTCTGAGGATTCACGTTCACCTCCTCAGTCCCTTTTCCCTGAGGTCTAAGAGGAAGGGTCTCTGTATACTTTCTTGCTCACCCGCATTCTCTGGCTAGCTAGATCTCCTTCAGTCTCAGGGTGTCAGGGGAAGGAAAGATACTGTCCCAAAAATCCATACAGGCACGTCTGTCTCACACACTCTAGTGCCCCCGTCCTTTAACCTCAGGATTCCACAGTGTTTTCTGGAGGCCCAGAGAGGTGATGACACTGGGCCAAACTTGTATAATAGGAGGGCAGAGCTGAGGAGGCCTCTCTGTCTCTCTATGTTAGGTCTATGCAGAGTCCTGAGCTAAGCCAGCTCTGGCTTCCTGGCTGGGGTATAGGTCTAGACTACAGCTTTTTTTGCTTGTTTGTTTGTTTGTTTGTTTGGTTGGTTTTGTTTTCTTCAGCCAGGGTAACTCTGGTCATAGGGAACACTTGGCAATATCTGGAAACGTGGTTATCAAGCTGGGGACATTGGTGGGAGGATAGAGATGTTCCTGGTATCCAGCTGGTGGAACCAAGGAGCCCCTGATACATCTTATACTCCCCGGGCAGCCCCTCTTTGCCAAGAGTCATGTATGTGCAACACAGCAATAGTTCTGAGGCCTAGTGCGCAGTTCCAGAAGGAAAAACTGATGACTCTGCCCTGGTCCGTGGTCGGACCATCCAGGGACCCACATACAAGTCTCGTGTTCAAAGTGAGAGATGGGCTGAGTTGGGCTCCCCATGAGGAAACACATACTTTGGAAGGCAGTGGGTGGCACTGTACTTAGGCCTGGGCTGTCTGCGGAAGAGAAGAGAGAGCTAGAGAGGCGATCAAGGCTCCCTAGCTGCCTGTCTTTTGTTCTTGTGGGTCCTGTGGGCAAAGGACCGTCTCCTGGATTGAAGAAATAACTGGAGGTCATGGTTGAAAGAGCAAGCAACCATGCTGAGGTCTGTGTGAGGACAAGAGGGGAGAGCAGAGAGGGCTGTCGCCATCATTGGCTTGTCCTCACAGGGAACAGGAGGCTGGGTTACAGCAAAGGGGATGCCCATCTGCACTCCTGCACTGGCACTAGCTGTGTTCTCTCTCTCTCTCTCTCTCTCTCTCTCTCTCTCTCTCTCTCTCTCTCCCTCTCTTGCACACACACACACGCACACTCATACACAGAGGAAACGATTTCCTAGACTCAATCAAAGCTCCCACTTCCATGTCTCAACAGAACCACTGTCCTTTGTGATCTCCCAACTGCACAGATCACAGAACTACTTAGCATACAAAGCTGCAGGATTCCACCCCCACCCCCACCAGTCCACAAAGGAGCTTGGAAGAGAGAGGAGACAATCCTTTTCTATCTATCTATCTATCTATCTATCTATCTATCTATCTATCTATCTATCTTTTTCTCCTTTTTTATTTTTCTGACTGAAACTGGCAGGAGGAACTGTCACAGCTGGAGCAGGCTAGTCTGAGGAATGCAGGTCCCTGGTGCCAGTGAACTACAGCCCCGCCTAGCTCTTGGCGCTCTGGGAAGGGGAATAACTGACAGTCACTGGCCTAACAGCACAGCCGCAGGAGAGGTGGCCTGCCTGGAAGGGCACGGAGAGAAATATCTACTTTTATGCAAGTGGCTGGTATCTCTGAAGTAGACCGCTCAGGGGCTGGCTACCCAGCCCAGGGGCAGTGGGACCCTGCACTGTGCAGTATTTCCCTCCCACCCCGTTTCTTCTGTTCAGCACATGGAGTGTGGGTGTGGGTGAAGAGTTAGCATGAGGTTGTCTGGAGATCAAGTGAAGAGGTACTGAGTTTAACACATAAGAATCCAAGGCTGATTATGGAGCTCAATGCCAAGGTTTCCCCCAAACCCAATAGTTCCACCATATGGAACAGCTGGCCCACTTCTGGGTATATGACCAAAAGAAATGAAATGCATTTACTGTGTGTTATGTTTATTGACACACTGTTACTAGCAGCTAAGGCAGAAGCCAACCTAGGAGCTGTAATGGTCGCATAAAGAAAATGCAGAATAGATACACAAAAGGATATCATTTGGACAAATGGGTGAACCCAGAGGACACGATGGAATAACTCAGACAGGGTGCCACCTGTTCTCTCATAAAAAAACATACCTTAACAAGCCTGTCAGAATATGCAGCCGTGATGCCCAGGAGCTGGGATGAAGGGGATGATGGAGGGAGAGTGGATAATGGGCATTAAAACAGACACATGTTCTCCCATTCCCCACCCTAGTGGGGGACTGCACGTCACAACAACCTGTAACATGTGTTATAAATAATAAGCAGAGAGGGGCTTGGAGGCTCCAAACACATGCAAATGGCAGGGAGGTGGAAAACAAACTCGCCCAATTTGATGAGCACATATTGTGTATGAGCAGTTTAATCTTGCGTTGTGCCTTATAGGTTTGTGCAGTGATTATGGGATAATCAAAACTGTTAAAGCTGTTAAAGGAACAGGACATGCCAACTGCCCTAACTTCATTGGTACTCATGTACACATGTATTGGATCATCACAAGGTATCGGTAGCCAGTGCAAAAAAATGTTAATTAAGGGCTAGAGAGATAGCTCAGTGGCTACAAGCTCCGACTACTTAAGACCTGAGTTCAGTTCTCAGCAGCACACAACTGCCTATAACAACTCCAGCTCCAGGGAATCAAAAACTCTCATTTGGCCTCTACAGATGTTTGCTCTCACCTGCGCTCACATAGACACATCAGACACATGATTAAAATTAAAAATCAATCTTTAAAATGTTAGTTATTGATAAGGGAGAGTCTGAGGCTGAAGAGAAGCAGCTAAGTGTTCGTTCTCACTCTGCCATGCTCTCAGGAGATACATGTGGCCAGGAGGGGCCCCACTCTGGCTCTCCAAGCCCTGGTTCCCATCCACAAGTCAGCTCACCTGGTAATCACGTAGGGAGCAAAGCACACGAGGAAGGTCCCTATGAAGGTGCTGATCTTTTTGGTGGCACGCTGTCGCCTCCGCTTCTGCTCCTCCAGACATCGTTCCCTCACACTGTATGGGACAGAGAGGAAAAGGTAATTTGTGGGGCGGCCTGGCCAGGACACTGGGAGGTGCTACTCATGAACACAAACAATGCATTCTAGGTGTGTGGTTATGAAGCCAGAGACCTGGGGCCCTGTGTTAAGCCCTTGGGTAAGGTGTGTGACAATGACAAGGTCATTATTTACAGTGTGATATCACACACCACGTTTTACTGATGTGCTTTCTTATAGACAACACAACATAATGTTAGCTGGATTGTTTGAAGGGTTTAGTGCACAAGGCACAACAGAGTTTTGTTTTCCTTTGTTTCTTCAATAAAACACCCTGACCAAAAGCAACTCAGGGAAGACACAGGGTTTATCTGGCTCACACTCCCATGATACAGCCTATTATTTGGTGGAAGGCAGGAACTCAAGCAACTAGTCACATCACACCTACAATCCAGAGAAGAGAGAAGCAAACGAAACCATGCTGCCTGCTCGCTTATGCAACCGCCAGCTCCCTCCTGCCCCAAGTTCAGAACCCTCCGCAGGGGGAACGGTGCTACTCTTATGTTAAAGACTCATCAAGACATCCCCCACAGATAGGCCTATAATTCCTCAACTGAAATGCTCTTCCCCGGTAATTCTAGATGGTGGCGAGTTGACATTTAAAACCAGCGCTCACACATAAAGATACAGAAAAATGTATCCAGTGTGCAAACGAATAACACAATGAATACAAACAGAGAAGAACTCATGGGTTTACTGCTTATGTCACGCACTGACTTCCCTGCACAGTCCTGGAGGGCTACACCCCCTGCCTCCGGGGCTCATCTACTATGACAGTTAGTGCTAGCTGTCAAGCTGACAGAAGCTGGAACCCCCCCGGGAGATGGACCTCTGTGTTTACCTGGGGGAAATTATCTTGATTGCATCCATTGCCATAGGAAGACCCAGCTTAGTTGTGGGCATGTGCGGTTCCTGGCATGATTCCTCCCGGGACTAAGATGGGAGAAGCTAAGTCACAGCCAAGTCCTCTTGACATCGAGGATGTAGCTTAGACGATGGGGTCAAGAGCCACCTATGCCTCTAATCACACCCTGTTCCTGCTCCACTGTGCTCTAAGCCCTGAAGGAACTGATTCCTTTCCACCAAGAGAAATCAGAGTATCACAGGAAAACAGCTGTGCATGCAGCCAGCTCCAGGCTCCTGACTCTGTCTTGTAGCATCCAGTATGGACACAGGTGAGCAGAGAGGGTGACTGGAGGCTGTGCTGCCCCGCAAGCCAACTTGGCAGAGCCTGGCTTGGTCTGAAGTGACTTGCTCCTGAAGACAGGCTGGCCTGCTCCATGAAAGCAAGCGGTAGAGAAGAAGTTCATAAGCTAGATTCAAGAATGATGTTAAAGCAAGTGCTACCCACTGCGTCTAGGAGAGTGACCGTTTTAATCCTTAAGTCTCTCCTCAATAGATTTCTTCTCATATGAACATTTTGGACGGACGAATCTGGAATCCTTCCTTGCAGGTCCCCTTTTGACCTTCTGCCTTTATATAAATTTATAGAATTAGGAACCAGATTGGGGCTTGGAATCAAAGTTCCCCACTGTCTGAAAATGTTCTTCACAACTAACGGTACTAATTACTTTATAATAATTAACACTATTGCCGGGCGGTGGTGGCGCATGCCTTTAATCCCAGCACTTGACTCGGGAGACAGAGGTGGGTGGATCTCTGTGAATTGAAGGCCAGCCTGGTCTACAAGGGCTAGTTCCAGGACAGGCTCCAAAGCTACAGAGAAAACCTGTCTCAAAAAACCAAAACTAAAACAAACAAACAACAAAAAAATAACACTAATAATGGTCTGAGTCTCTGCCACGTGTCATGCTAGGTTCTATGATGGGGTTTCATGTTTAGTTAGTACATGTGTCTAGGAGTCAAGGACGATGTCGTTACAGTCTGCATATTTGAGAAGCGATTGAGACTCTAGAGAGGTAAGATATTTTCTCAGGATCACACAGCGTTCACAAGGCTCCTAAGCGGTAACTATGAAGTGGTCAGCATTTGGTCAGGCAATGCCTCGGCCTCTGTTTAGTATTGAAAGTATTCCGTCCTCAATGGTTTTCGTGGGGTGGTTTCCAAAGTGGATCCTATGTCTGAGTACCCTTCTCCATCCCTGGCAAGTCAGGCTGGCAGATGATGGCAGGAATTGAATCTAGACCAGAGTCCAGAACCAAGCTCATCCCTCCCCCTACACAAACAGTCTACCTGTGTCGTCACAGGGGGAAGTCCCATGGATTGGTATATGGGGGGCCCCCGAGGTCACCGAATCCTGCTCAACTCAAATCCCCAGGCCTTCTGACCACATGCGTGTTTCTGTATCATTTTCTGCTAAGGTTCACGGGCTCCTGTGACTTGCACAGCCTGTGGTTGGAGGTCTGGGTACAGGGACATGGCCAGCTCAGCTGTCTTGGTTTAAAACTCAAAGTCCCTCTCTCTGGGAGTCTCAACCCAGGGCAAAGAAGACCAGTGGTGACCACAAATGCAGGAGGCTCAGGGTTACTCTTCACGGCTGAGCTCTGTCTGTTCCAGTGTTCACGGATTGCCACGGATGAATGGTGGGGTGCAGATTTGGGGTGTTAGCCGAGTACCCTGAACCATCACACAACTTTCTTCCATGACAGCAAAGGACCATTCTGACACCCAATAAATAAGCATGCCAAATTCACACAAAGAACTCTGTGAGGGGGATAAGACCACCTACGTTTCTGTCCTCCTCAGTGTGTGACAGTGTTACAGCCCTCGGGTGCTGTAGAGTAAAAGCCCTCTTAGGTGCACTCCCTTAGAAGGGCCCTGCTCTCCTAACTGTGGCCACAGGCAAATCCCCACGCCTCTGTGCGTGAGTCCCCACTTTTCAGAGGAGGCTTTCACCATACCTTAAAGCAGACCTACGGTTCATTATGAAGATAGGCGTGGCTCACTGAGCAATAGGGCAGAGAGATGGGGAGCTTCCTTATGCTCCCCAAGGAGTCAAGGTTCTGATGAGGGGCTACAGCCCCTCCCCTATCCATAGCAGACTCTCTCTCCTTCAAAGCATGGGGAACTAATGTCTATAAAGGCATTGGGGGTCTGCAGAGAGACACTTGCATGACTGAAGGAAGGAACGGCTAGAACTGTCACGGGACTGTCACTGTCACACCCCCAGGCTGCACAGATCCCCAGAGACCTGCTGCATTGCCCCTTTAAGGACAGGTTAAGCAGAAGACACTTTGCAGCTGTGTGTCTTCTTTGACCTTCGCTTCTTGGCTAGTGGTTAGGTTTGAAGAGCCAAGGTTAGAACTTCAGATTCAAACCCAGACACTTAATTTGAGGTGGCTTTTGTACATCAGATGCCTCATCTCTAGAAAGAAGGGTGATGAGAGGACCTGCCTTTTAGGGTCACACTGAGAGTGCCTGAGTTAAAATATGAAAAATACCAAGAACTGTGGCTGACCCTGTGAACACTTAGTGCGCGCTAACCAAACTATTCTCAACTCAATATACACTCACTGGGGAACTCTGTACTGTGTTCCACCTCTGCCTTGAACCTCCAAGCCACAGAATTTCCTCTTTCTGTAAAAGTCCTCCTTACCCTATGCTATGTCCACAGGAGAGGCAGCCCTGGCTAGGGACTGTGCCAGGGGTGCTGTGAATTAGCATCATGCAACTGAACATTGAATCCTGATTTGACTCTGTAGCCCATTTGGGGCTTACAGGGACATCACAGATTTTAATGTGACTCACCAGTAGAATGCAGAGAGTGTCTACAGAGGGTACTCTGCCCCCAGAATCATGTTATTAGGTTATCATGATAGCAGCATATTATCATACTGTCAGGACAGAACAGTAGACTCTCCAACTTATGCCTACCCAAGCTCACAGATAGGGAAACTGAGGCTTACAGGAGTGAAGGACCTGCCTGTCCTGGGAGTCAGGTACAAGTGGGACTTCAGACACATGGGAATTGGCTACCAGCCCAGCGCTTTCAGCTAGGGGTGTGCCACTCCTTCCCTGAGCTATTGTAAAGGAAAGGGCTAAAGCCAGCTCTGCCCTTCCTCCGTGGGCTCTGCTGTTTCCTGGGTAACAGTACAGTGGTGGTAGGAGCACCCCCATCACTTAGGTGGGAGACAGCTCACTGGGCTCTCCAAATGATAGGACCACAAAACCTCCTGTTGTCATTTTCCTCCCCATGGCTTTGCAACCCTGAGATCCTGAAAATCTTGTATGCCTATGGGCTGTCATTGTGCTATTCTCAGATGAGGACCCGAGTGGTTTAGGACATGCCCAAGAAACATCCTGGCAGTTTGGGACAGAACCAAGGCTCATCTCAGATCTCCTGACCTGACTCTAGAGTGTTCCCCTTACTCTCACTGCCACCCCTAGTCTGGTGGAGGCACCCAGAGTCCTTGGACTCCTGGGCAGAGTCTGTGGTGCAGAGAATATGAGGTACAAGGGGAGCCCCGATTGTGGTCTGAACATGTGTGCTAGCCTGGAGTTGGAGGAGGCGGGTATCACAAGGTTTGAGACCAAAGTGGACAGGCTCTCTGGCTTTTTGACATGTGAGGTCAAAGAGATGCATTCCGCAGGCTCCAGTAACAGCAACTCTGGATGGATCTAAACAGAAAGCGGGGAGATGGCCTCGGAAGTCTCTGAGATGGCTCTCTAGGTCCTCGATGATCTGAGATGTTCATTGTCCTTCCAGAGCCCACACCTGGAGCCCTCACAGCCTGACCCCTATTGGTTTTCTGGCTTTTAAGCCATGAGACAAGACGGCTGATGGTAAGAAAGAGCCCTGAATTTGCAGTTAGGATGCTGATGTCCCCCTTGCAGATCTAGGAAGCATGGTCCCTGCTCTAGGTCCTGGACATTAAAACTGAAGCTCACACAATCTACTCTAGGGGAAAAACCCCTAATTTTCTATGGCACATAATTCTTGTGCAAATGCCTTGATTCAGGGTTAGGTCTAGGGATAGGGTTAGGTTTAGGGTTAGGGTTAGGGCTAGGGCCAGGTTTATGGCTAAGGCGTGGGTTAGGTTTATGTTTAGGGCTAGGGTTAGTGTTAGGGCTAGGGCCTGGATTATGTTTAGATCTAGGTCGAGAGTTTGGGCTAGGGTTAGGGTTAGACCTAGTGCTAGTGTTAGGGTTAAGGTTAGGGCTAGGTTTAGGGTTAGGATTAAGGCTAATTTTAGGTTTAGGGTTAGGGCTAGGGTTCTGGTCAGGGTTAGAATAGGGCGAGGGCTATGGCTAGATTTAGGTTTAGGGCTAGTGTTAGACACAGACCCCTGGTCCCCACCCAGTGGTGGACTACACTGTAGATGTACTCAGTTTAAGGCTCGAGGAGCATCCCATGCATATGGAACGTGACTGTATGACTTGAGGTGTGCGCATGACCCAAGAAAGGCACCTGTGCTGCTGGGTAGAGTCAGGGATGGAGAAGTAATGCAAGTGGACCACTTAGAGTGTTCTCTAGCCCAGATGAGGCTAGCCTCAACGGAGTCTATAGATTCTAAATTTGAGCCCCAGTTTTAGGAAGTATATCTGCCAAGATAGGGGAATTAGAACATATTCCATGGCCCCACCTATAAGCTAAAGTAGAACTTCTAAGCATCTACACAGAGAGCTTGTGAGCCTCCATCTACCTGGTTGCTCCATCTACAAATCTCAAGGACAGACTTGGGCGTGGCCCCGGGTGTATTCTACTTTCTAGAGTTCATCAAATGCCTTCCTTTTGGGATCTACTTCTGCCTCTGTAAAGTCAAGGGCCCAGTGCAGCTCTACCTCCTTGGTCAACCTCTGACATCCTGCAGAGCTAACCCTCAGGCAGCCCCTGTGGTCATGATTCACAGCATGTTACGGGCTTAGAGAGAGACCCTGGTAACACTGAGAGGAAGTCCTCACTCAGCTTTTAGGAGAGACTCTGTCACCAGCAGCTTAGCTCCAGGAGGTCATCTCCCTGGCATGGGTGAGCCTGGTCTGGGCTAGAAAGAGGGCAGTGATGCTGGGCCACGGAGCCTGATCTGCTTGGTTGTACCCGGCAGCAGCAGAAGAGATCTAACCAGAGCCTGCCGAGAGCTTTGGCTGGGAGAGCTGAATAGCAGACACTGGGCAGGTGAAGATCCGAGTGTGGACCAAACACTGCAAGGTGAAACCCGCTTCCTAAATTTAGTAAATTGACCACAGAACAACAGAAATAGGAGATGCCACTCTGGGCCTCGGATTTAGAAAAGAGAGACTTCCTGCTGCTTAGGTAGTGATTGTGGCAAAGGGATGAAGCTTGCTACTCAGCATGCAGAAGAATAAACTACCTCTTGTCGCTTCCTAACAAATGGTACCTGGGCTCCAGGCAGCCCAAAGCAGGTCTCCTTTAGCTAAATTCTGGGGTAAGTGGTGGATGACAGGTGGGATGACTTCCAGTGAGCTGAGACTTCACTTGCTCCTCTAGCTGTCCAGGAGACTGTCCTGGAACTGACACCCTAAGACCACATAGGTTCTTGGCACCAAAGGATGTCAGAGCCTGAACTGGGGCAGGATTCCACCACAGCCTTCAGAGCTAAGACCAAAACTTCTCCACAGTGCCACCAAAGTAACGGCCAGCAGATCAGCTGTCAGGGAAGTAACTGTCTGTCGTATTCTGTGGAATTCACCTCCCACACTCCTGCTTGAGACCCCTGGAAAGGGCAGTTTGTGTTCACAAAGGAGCCAGCGGCTCTGTGACCTGATGAAGCTCCCTGGAGGGTCTAGAAGCAGGGCCTCCTCCAAATGGCCCGAAGCTCAGAGGAGGTCAAGGTTCTCTGCAAAACTGACAAAGGCCTGGATTCCAGCCCAGTGTCTGTCTTTGCTTATGAGACCCCCTACATACTGTCTGTCATTCTGACCTAAAGTCAGGGAGACAGGTAAGAGAAGAGGAAGCCCCTGTCCCTCACTAGAATGCAAAGTGGCCTCTACCCTCCTCTCTGGGGGATTAAGAGCAGAAATTGGGCTTTCCCTCACTCTAAGAGGACTGGCTCCTTTCCTGCTGGGTTTCCATTTCTCTTTTCCTCCACTGGGAGGCTCGGTGAACCGGCTTTCTAGGACTAGCTCAAGTCTGCAAGAGTTAACATTTCCATGCATCCTCGGGATGGAGCTGCCCCAGCCCCAGCCCTGGGGATGGCCCTTTCTAAAGTGAATGCTGATGAACAGTGGGGAAGATTCTATGTAGGGAAGACTAGAGGAGCCTGTCCTCTAGAATGACTCTCAGAGGGGGACCGTCAGTAGACACACTCAACCATGCCCTGCCAATGTGCAGGCATGCTGAAATTCAGCAGCTTCTTATTGCTCAAGGCAGGGAAGTCCCACAAGGGGCCTTTGCTCAGACTCACACGTTCTGTTTGTTTGCTGTGCCCTCTAGGGCAAATACACATTAGGGTCTACACTCTTCCCTACCTACCCCAAGGTTTCCTGAATCCTGGACTTGGGCTCACACATAGAACCATAACATCTCACTACCAGTGCTCTCTGTGTGCTATATCTTATGTGCCAAGTGGATGCCAAAGCTCTTATCCGGAGTCCCAGGCATCAGAGAGGAAGGCAGCTTTTAATGTAAATAAATCGGCAGAGACTAGAAAAACACCCTCCCTCAATGCCCTAGTCTCAAAAAGAAAAGATGAGGTGAGCTCAGGACAGCCTGATTGACAGTTCTCTCCTTCTCTCCTGAAGGGACATTAAGGACCACAGAGGTCCCCAGCCAGTCCTCTCATTTGCTTCCTTCTATCTTCTCCCGAGAGGTAGTGGGTCAAGAGGAAGGGGGTGGGTGGACAGGCTTAGTTTCAGGAGTCGGAGGTAGAAATTCTTGAAGGGACCTTGAGGTGCCAAGTCCAGAACACACAGGACAGAGCCCCCTAGGGAGGCAAGACAACCCAGGCCCTCAGGACCCACCACAGGGAGAAAGTGCAATGGATTCTGTTTGGTGGGAACTCAGACACATACACAAGAGGAGGAGATCAAGTTAGCACCACACCCAGACTGACAAGGATCCAGAGGAGTAACACCCGCAGTGTGAAGAGTTCTTAAGCATTGTCTAAGCCTACCATATGCCCTCTCAGGGCCATATCCAAACCCTTTCCTAGCTTAGCACAGTGAACAAAGCTCACTGCTCAGGATACATCTAAGGATAAGGAGGAATTTCTGGCTGAGAGTTCAGTCCGGTGCTTCAGAAAGTGAAGCTCTGGGTACCCTTTAAATAGCACCTGCCATTCCAGCCTTGCTTAATGCAGTGCGGTGGACAGGGGACTCTCCCACGGCCCTACCTTGGGTACTGGGACCTGCCCAACTCACTACAGTGTCCCTGAATCAGGCCTCTCACCTGGGGTGGATGTCCACCAAAAGCACGAGTGTCTGCATGGTGATCACGTCGATGCGCTTGCAGTGGAAGCGGGCCACCTTGAGCACCTTGAGGTACGTGAAGCAGAGTACGATGAAGGAGAGCAGAAAACTGAGCGCATGGAAGGCGCTGGTGAAGATAGCAAAGCGCAGGCGCTCCTCGGGCCGCCGGCTGCACAACGTACACGAGGCATACAGCTGGTGGAAGCCCAGCCAGGACAGGGCGAGCGCAGTGGCCGGGAAGGTGAGCGCGTGCAGCCACGTGTAGGCCACCATGAACGCGGCATCGCGGAGGCGCATCTTGGCACGATAGCTTAGCGGGAAGACCACAGCCACCCAGCGGTCGATGCTGAGTGCAGCCATGCTGAGCATTGAATTGGCGGCCAGGAAGGTGTCGAGAAAGGCAGCCAGGCGGCACAGGCGATCCCCGGCCGGTTGCCGCTGTGCCACGACGCCGGCCAGCGTGAGTGGCATGTTGACCACGGTGCACAGCAGGTTGCCACAAGTGAGGTTGAGGGTGAAGAGCGCGGGCGCCTGGCGGCGGATGTCAGCGCTGTGCAGGAGGCAGAGCAGCACCAGCCCGTTGGACAGCAGCGACACGCCGATAGTGCCCACCAACAGCCCCGCCAGGCCCGCGTCCCACGAGTTCATGGTGCGCGCCCGCAGCTGGCGCTCAGGGCCCGCAACCCTGCGCCGCCATGGCGCAGTCCGCTGCCGGCTCAGCCCCGCGGCGTCGCGGCGGCCCAGAGACCCCTGGTCCCCGTCGCCATGGCTACCCGAAGGGCGTCCAGCAACCCAGAACCCCGCTCCACCCCCTGGACAAGCACCTAAGAATGCAGTCACCCGGAGCCCCGCACCACCTCCCAGGCAAGCACCTGGGTGCGGAACCACTCGGACTCTGGGTCACCTCACCACCGGCGAGCACCTGGGAGAGCCGTCACCCCCAGCCCCGCACCACCTCTTGGCCAGTCGCCCGGTGCAACGCTGAACTCCTGTGGTCCCCTGGAATCCTGGGTTGCAGGCGCCTGTGGTCACAGGCTTTGCCTCTGCCCGCACCCGCCCTCACCGGGTCCTTCTAAGCTCTGGCTCTGCTCCGCACACCCTCCTGCTTTGTGGCTTTCTCTCTGTCTCCCTCTCTCTGCCTCTGTGCTCAATCTCGTGTGCTCTCACTTTCTGTTCCCCCTCCCCCATCTGTCTCTCCCACCTCCAATTTTTTCCTCCCCTCCTTCCTCCCTCCCTTTCTCCTTTCTCTCTTCTTTCTCTCAGGAAACCGGCTGCTTCTGCGAAGGAAATCCCACTGATTCTCTCTCTCTCTCTCTCTCTCTCTCTCTCTCTCTCTCTCTCTCTCTCACACACACACACACACACACACTCACCACATACACACATACACTTGGAAGGAAGGAGCCCTGCAGGCTCCCTTGCAGAGTGACTGGCTCCCTGTGGCTCCCCTCCTCCTCTTCCCTCCATCCTCCCCTCTATGTGCAGGAGACAGGCTGAGTCAAAAGAATCTAAGAAACAAGAAGGATGCCTGGGCACCCTCATGCCTCAGTGCCACTTGGTCCCTCTTAGCTGACCAGACCTTGACCCAGCTCACCTGTCCCATAGCTGCCCAGCCTCGGGGCTCGCTGCTGTTATCTAATAGGAAATGGGGAGCTTGGTTAGGCTTCTGCTAGAATGGAATGTAATTCACAGCTCTCTCTTGCATTAGGACCAAATATCTCCTGAGATCTCCCCCGCATCTGTCCACAGGCAGCTGCTGCCCTACTGGGCATTGAGTCCCCAAGGCTTCATCCCATCACTCTGTAGTAATTCAGTTGCATTCTCAGACTTGGTGGAAGGACACTCAAGGCTCATTGGGACGTCCCTTAGGCAAACCTTCAGTCAAGAGAACACTTTATCTGTCCTTAGTTACCAGAAGCAGCTCTGGTGTGGCTGGTATTGGGTACATGTGGTGTCCAGTGCTTGCTGTTGGATTTCCATTCTGGGTCTGGTGAGAAGCAAGTTATTGCTGATGAGAAACCAGTGATGCTTATTAGGCATGTGGGAGAACTGTTCAGAGAATGGGAGGACAGGGCATGGCATGATTTGATCCAGATCATGGGAACTCGGGATATAAAGGGTCTCAGTCTCCCCCACCCTCCCCCGATCCTTAGATAAACCTGTCCCCAGTTCAGACTCTGCAGTTTCAAAAGGACTTGGTGGACAGCCAGGTGAGAACTTTTGGAGCTTCCTCAGTCCCGTCCCTTTCTGTAAGATGCTACCTCCTGAAGTGACCACCTCCTCTGTATCTCAGAGCCTGGTGATATGGACAGTCATGAGTGCACATGACCAGACCTCAGTCTAACAGAAGCCAAGCACAGACAGCTTCCCCAAGGGAGCTATTTTGTCTCCCCCATCTCACTAAATATTTCCCCTCACATAGTTTTAAGTATGGGGGGGGGAGCTCATATAAAGCACTGGGAAGGCAAGGGAAACAATGTTCTCTCTCCTCTGCACCCTGAAAGATGCTCATTGACAACCATTGTAGTTAATGATAGCTGTACACAGTAGAGTGCTGGGACCACTTCTTACCAGCTTCCTAGGGTGGCCTGGGGGCTCCTCTACAGCTCCATTCAGAGGCAGAATGCTGATAGTTGAAATCTAACATGCTAAGGGCATTTACACCATAGAATCAAGCAAATGCCACAGCTTAGCCCCCTCCCCATCATCATCATCATCATCATCTAAGCCTGTGGTTAAGCATTTACCCGCACACCACTCATTAACATCACAGGACCCAAGGCAAGGCACCCAGCTTCCCCGAGTCTCAGCTTCTTTATCTGTGTTTTCAGAACTGTGTTGATGCTGTGTGGAGGTGGATTCGCTTCTCGGGAAAGAGAAGAGCAAGCAGAATACTGGCAATCTTCTCAGCCCTTGGTCTCCTCATGTGGCCTAGGGAATTCAGGTTGGCTGTGTGTCTTCACCTCTTGCTTGGTTGATGACAACATAGTGGGCTGTCCACCTGCATGTCTTCCTGCTTCACAGATTTCCTTGGCAAACCACCTCTGGGAGGAGACAGGTGTTCAGGATTACTTCTGGAGTAAATCAATATATTCTGAGGCACACCAATGGGCCCTTAGCTCTTACATTACAGTGTTCTATAGGATTACCTTATGTGCTGGTTAAAGATTCAGGTTCCTGGGTCACCTCCTCCCAGGGTTTCAAGGTCATAGAGCCTGAGATCCTGCCTTGTTTACTACTTCTACAAATGATGATCAGACATGATCAGGCTAGATAGCTGATGCCTAACCATGCCCTGGACACATCCTCCATCAGTGGCCTGATGCTGTGGCCTCACAGGACTGCCAGTGATTGTCGGAGCACAGACATTAACACATTAAACATTACCTAATGTATTTATAGCACATGAGTTGCCAAAGCCTGTCCAAATACCACACTTGATCTGATCCTTGCAAGAACGATGGATTGGAAAGTTAGCTACTGCTGGTATCTCAGAGATGAGGGCAACAACATACAGAGGAGTTAAGTGACAGAACTGGCTATATGGGCTGCCTTTAAACTATGTGCTCCAGAGCTCCTCAGTCACCTTCTCAATGAGATACCTTTGGTCTATAACTTATAAGAACCTCAACTTCTCAGCATCAAAATGATGCTGATAACAAGATCACTGGGGCCAATAGTAAAAAACTCTCTCTCTTCCTCTCTCTTTTCTTCTCTCTTTTCCTCCCTCCCTTTCTCCCAACCTTGCCCCTCCCTCCTACCCACCCACCCCCCTCTCTTTTACACACAGCATACTGAAGATCATTTGCTCTCTGAATTCCTAAAGGCAACCCTGAAAGGTTAAGATGCCAGAATAGAAATTCAGAATATTCTAACTCAGTTTGCTGAGGAACTGAAGCTCATTTTTATCTGCCTCTTTAAACGAAATATCCTGGGATTGTTGGAGGGCTGATCTCCATAGCGACCAGGTCCCAGCCTTGTTGGTTTTTATTCAGGGCAGTCTTCATTAAGCTCAGGTCTAGCATAGCTTTACACACCGATAATGAGGTTATAGTCATAGAACACAGCTCTTTGTGGAACTTGATACTAGCCTCTGCTGACCGTCCACAGGAGAATCTAAGAATCCAGCCCACTCACGCAGGGGCTGCAAAGCCTGGAGTATGCCTGCCAGGGAACCACACTGGTTCTTTAGAGCATGCACTTTCAAGCCAGAGGGAAGTCGGCACTGGTGGAATGTTGATGACAGCATTAACATGACTCATAAAATGCTGTAACTGTGCCCCCTAGGGATGCTCAGCAACAGGACTCCGTAGAGGCAGAGGAATGCACACGTCTTTGTCAACCCTTGCAAGAACGTTCCAGTGTGTCTACCCTGAAGTGAAAGAACACTCCCAGAACAGGCAATTTGCTCAAGGTCACTTTCAGTCACATCAGTTGACAGAATCAAGTGAATTAGTTAGAGATCCACATCTTTTCTCTACTGCGCTGCTCTCTATCACACACATGCATGTGCATGCATGAGCACGCGTGCGCGCGCGCGCGCGCACACACACACACACACACAGATATGCTGCTGACAGAGGTGATCTCTTTCACAGTTGCATTCAGAGAGGAATGAAATGCTATAACAAGAACCAGACTGGCACCAGTGCCTCAAGAAAATTGGGACAGTAGAAGTGCTATGGATACAAGAATATTGGTGGTCATTTGGGGGAGAACCAGGGGATTCTGGATTTGTACAAGTTAAAGAGAGAAGGTCAAGATTCTGGAAATTCCATAGAGAAAGAAGTATCTGGGGAAATGCCTATGGACCTGAGGCTAGAAACCCTTCAGAATTGTGCCTCTGCAGCAGAAAGTGGACCTTCAGGAAGATGGGAGACACAGATGGATGGACCAGCCCCATGACAGGCACAAAATGTAAGGCCTGTTGAGTGATGACTTCCATAGCCTGGAGTATCCAGTCAGCCTGCCAGACTCCCAACTGAGACTAACAGCAGGATTCCATTTTCAAAACATGTACTCAACTGATGCTGAAAGTCCTCATAGTAGCACTGTAACCAGAGGCCAACCACAGATGGTCTGATCATCCGGATTAGGACACTGAGACCCTAGAGAAGGCATTCCTTCTTTGCAGAACGTATGACTCAGAGTGGGGGACTAGATCCTTGAATGCTGCCCAGGACCTAGCTGACTGTCTAGTACTCTCTCTATTACAGCTAACATGCCAAACTAGTGGTCTCTCTCTAACTGCATGCCCTCATGCTAAGTAAACAGAACCAATTGTACATTCTGACATTCCAGCAGGTCACAGAGTCTCTGGCTCAATTGACCATAAACATGGGACTTTTTGAGACAGGATTTCAATTAGCCCAGACTTGCTATACAGCTAAGGATGAACTTGAACTTGATCCTCCTGCTTCTACCTCCATAATGTTGGAATTGCAAGCATGCATCTCTATACCAGGTTCACCTGCTCATTGCCAAAGATGAGAATTGATTCTCTGGCCCTGGACCTTTACCATTCCCAAGTCTTCACAATGGATTCAGACCAGACGAACCAGTTATGGACAGTGATAAGTTCAGAAAGAGGGAAGAGAAATCTCATGGTCTGATAGCCTTTCCTGGTAATCTCCCAAAAGAATCCAAAGCTTTGTTGTCTGAAGGAATTCAGAAGGCAAGGCAACATTTATCTGAGCCTTGCCAGGATCCAGACACTCTGCCTGCCTTATCTCATGTAATCTTTGCAGTATTTTTGAGATGCTTCTGCTGCAAGTAGATAAGGTAACAGAGGTTGAGAGAGGCTAGGCATGATACCCAAGGACCAGAGCTAGTGGAAAAAGTGAGGGAGACGTAGGCCCAAGTACATGATGGCTCTGGCTCTGTTTTGATGCCATACTTGATCTCCCAGTCTCTCCCAGTCATTCCCCCTAACAGCCATTTCCACTCTGCTCTTGTCTACTCTCTTCCCACCTATGTTCTTAGCCTGGGCATCAGCTAAACAGTGTGATAACTTAGTGTCTGGGAGAGGGCTTCTGCCTAGGACACTGCTTTTGCTGCCCCACTTATGGTTCATGGAACAGGGCTTACTCCTTTGCATGTAGACTGGGTGTTGGAGTGAGGCTTGACATGAATCATTCTGCCCAAGGATTCTCAAATAACTTGGGTATATCAGAG